AGCCATGAGACATTCACCCACACATCATATAAAGACTGGACACTTTCTTATAGGGGTGATTGTATATATACATTTCTATACACGATGTTTATTTACATATATCGATGCAATTATATACACTTATATACACACAATATGTAATTATTTACATATTGATGAAATTATATGCAATGATTGAATTACAAGGCTGTGGGACGTGTTTTCTTTTGGGGATAATAATTTTGTGGTCGCTGATGTACGTGGCGAGACGATATTGGATGTGAGGTTGTAGTTGAAAGTTGTAGAAGTCATTGTCGACACATGTCCCTCTGATGGTGGCGGGACGCTTGTGGTGCTGCACCAGATACCGTAACGCGACAGCATGTGTGAGACTAGTCAGCGGTCGTCGACCGCCATGATGTCCTCGTTAAAGTCTCTAACGCGCACGAATGGACCATGTTTTAAATCGAAATCGGTTCTGTACCGATGCATTGTCTTCTCGATGTAAGATATGTCGTCTCCCTTGGATAGGTTCGGCGCCAGGTAAATGGCCATGGCGACAATCCCATTGGAGGGCTTCACGCAAGCATGCGCCCCGTTGTGGCTCTTATTAGTCAGGGGTGGCAGAAGGTCTTCGGCCGTTGCGGGTCTATAGTTTTACGTAGATCCCGATACCTTCCGCTGCAGGACGCTCTGCATCATCGGTGCACACGATAGCGTCGTAGCCTTTGGTGTACATGTTTCCAGCGTTCTATGTCTCCGTCCGCTGCGGTCAGTACGGGATTGGGTTCAACGTCTTTATTATGGGCGTTGAGGTAGTGAACGTTGAGCAGGGCCAGCGTGAACTCTCTCGAGTGGTCTTGGCGATGAGAAAGGAAGCGCGCTAAAAACGCTTGCTTCGAGAACCATGCAGGAACGGCGCGACGAGGGACTTTCCCCGATCAGCTGATTGCACAGCCTCCACATGCAAAACTCCGCCGAAGATTTTAAGTGAGACAGAAAAGAAGATACCACACACGAAGTTTTATGCTCGGGAATTAACGCACCAGTGTCGGGTACACAGTGCAACAAATTGCAAAAAAAAAAGGGAAGCACTGGGCTAATTAACAAAACTTGAACTAAACACAATCTTCCTGCAACTGAATTCACAAACGAGCTTAACCGATTACTTCAATGAAGCAAGCACGAAGTATACGGTAGAAAGTAAGCTGAAAATTACGTAGTAGTGAAGCTAAATACAGCCCTTTTACTATTCTGTAACATATGCTTACTACTTATAAATGGGTTCACGTTAAGGAACCCCAGGTGATCGAAATTTCTGAAATTCTCCACTGGGGTGTCCCTCATAATCGTATTGTTATTTCGTAGCATTAAACCTCAACAATCATTGTGAGCTATCGCATATCAAGGACCACGGCGCTTCCTTGCCGTGTCGCCGTCCAAAACTCTGACGCACTCACCGAGGCCGATGCTTAGAGCCGCGGCCTCTATAGTTCGCCGTGGTCCACGTGCACGGATCTTTCGCTCGAAGCACAGTTGATAGCCCATGCAGTGCGGCGGCACATGAGTATATACAGCCACTTCATTTTATTTCATATTTCGCGGGCTTTTTTCAAACGCCAGAAAAGCTCATCTCGCAGCCCGTACGAAAAAATTGGATTGGTCGTTTTAGGATGCCCTCTACAAGCTAACAAAACGCATTTTGTTGGACCGTATACAGTGCACATTAATAATGTTGCACAATAGGCTCTACTTAATTCACCAATTAAGCGCATTACAAAATTACCGTCAGGAAAGGTAAATGATGGCAAACATGTCCTTGGTTAGTTCAGTTACGGAATACGCCATTCATTTTAAATATTTGGTTCGAGTTACGCGAGACACCTGGTATAGCTATTACAATTATTTGTTCACATGTAGAAGCAGCTTTCCTCTATTTTCTCTTCCTCTTCCCACCCTTACCTCCTCTCTCATTCACCGATGGCCACCGCTTGTGTCAGCCACAGTGCGGCAATCGGTAAAATCTTCCCTTTTCCTTCCATACTTAAGTATATATTTACTGAAGTAATCAGCTTATGTCACAGTTATTCTCTATATTGCGTAGATGTTTTACACACAATAGTATTTATGTCCCTACAAATTTTACTGCTGTTAGACACTCCTCACGTTATTTTCCATTAACAGGCAGATGGTTGCGTCCGGGGGAAGAGTGTTCCTGAGAACCCGCCGAGGCGCATCGCCCGCGACGGGCTCGGGAACCAATGATTTTTGATCGTTTGATACATCTATAGGCTTGCGATCCACTTGAAGTATTTCTCGTTGACGTGATGCTGCCTTGTGAAAACGTGTAAGCGTGGGCACCACCGCATAAAATGAGGAAAGATTGCGAGACGATCGCATGGCGAGCAGATGGTGTAATGTAAGCGTGTACATGCACCGCCGTGGAGACTGGGGACGGGAAGGATTCATTCTGGAAGAGTCTGAGGACCTGCCTCATCCTCGGTTCGGACCCAGGAAAAATGTCTCGCGAAAGGTGGTCAACAGGTTGAAAAACGTATATAGTCGTGCAGGGCTGGCTCGTTGATTTTGAATATCCGTGTGAAGTTCTCAACCGCAGTTATTCTGAATGCACCCCACGAACGTTTTTTTTTTTTTTTCATCCGACGACACAACATTGTTCGCCAAGGGGATGCGAGTTTGTTAGACACCGGCGGCAACACTTCCATGACGTTCCGCACGGATGTGCCTGTATCAGAGCGTATATCGTATGAACAGCTTGCGTGGTAGTTTTCGAGTTCAATTTTGTTAGTTAAAAGAGGACATCCCAGACGCAGCTGTTTTTTACTATAAACTCAAACTTCAAGAGAATCGACGACTGCCGTCACTTCCTCCGCATCGACGCGTACAGGTGTAGCGTGCACCAGCTCCTTCCACAGGAAGTAAACGAACACGCCAGAGAAGAAAGAAGAATCGCCCGTCCGCGACTTACATGCCTCACGAAACGGTCTTCCGCCACGGGAAGCGAGCGTGTAAACTGCATCCGCTTCCCTGTGTCAGGCCTTTTCACGAGCACGCATGTGTTCGCGCCTGGCAGCCTCGCGTTACGGCTGGAGTACGCGGTCTTTCTTGGGCCGCTGGTGGAATGAGGCGTATCGAGCAACACCGCGCGCGCGCATGCACGGACGCGCACGCAAGCACTCAAGGAGAGTTGTTAAATAGCGTGGTGGTGCGCGAAGGACCAGTCAATGGCTGACACCCGGTGGTAGACCGACAGCAGGTCAGGCGTTCTCGGCGAGACGCTCTACTTAAAGCTGACGCTGCCGCACACCCGGGTTTCGAATAGGGCGCGTGGACACTCGCGGAATCGGCGCGAAGCGCACGAGACGAGCATGTCCGGAAGACGCGCTGGCAAGAACAGTGGCCGCTGGTGCACCTGCGCGTTGCTTCTGCCGGTGAGTGTCCGGACGACATCGTGCACGGCTGAGGATTATTTAGTCACGTGGGTGCCACGAGATGGCGCGATCTCTCGTAATGCGTCATTCGTAATGCGTCATCATTAAACTCTTCACTGCAAAGTACGAATCCTCAAACTCTTTTTTTAAGGAAAAAAAATATATAGTTTTTGGTTCATTAGGTATTACGGCTTGGTGGCGCTAGCCACCGCCCGATCTAAAGGGTACAGCCATATCCATCCATCCATCCATCCATCGTCACGCACAAGCTGCAGCGGAAAGATGCAATCGTATTGTTGGACGCGTACGCCGGCGCGTTATAGTTAACAGAGACTTGATAGAGTTATTACAAGCCGGTGTAAAAACTGATAGAACACTGATGATTTTGAGCTGTAATTGTCGGTGATGCGTAGAAAACATGCCATGGATTACGAGACAAGAGTGTAAAACTTTACTACAAAAGAATTTCTTCCGATGTAAGCGGGGCCCCGATTCCAGAGGCTCTGTGACCTATCTCATCATTGCGAGCTCTGTCGATTAGCTTAAGCCGTTCTTCAGGCTTCGAGCAGGACAGCGCAGCCTCCCATGGTTCCGGTAGATATGCTGTGATTTTTTAAATAAAAATTGAGAGAGGGTCAAAGAGCACAACTAAAATAAGAAAATAGTGTTTTGGATACAATCAAGCAAGCCAAAAATTTTTTTTCTATTTATTGTGGCGGGTGTTCCCCTAATTTTTGTCGTGTTATTAACCGACCAGACGTGGTTCCGTTGAAACCTCGACTCCAGTTCTATTATTTGTAATGTGTTTACGAGCTGTTTAAGACTAGCATACATATTTGAAGTACTTTTATACTCGTGTGGTTTTATGGCACAACTGTGCCCAAAAATATGGCTGCACTTTTTCACCGACCAATCATTCGCAATCTAAAATAAAAAAGCTTTTTTGCAATACACTAAAGCACTTTGCGAAACAACCTTTACAGGAAACCTAGGCGCTGCGGGAATATAAATGAAGTGCATTGCCGTAGAAGCGAGGAAAAAGAAAAACATATTTACAACTAGAAGTGTCGTTCACCTATAGTATAAGCAAGAGCTTCGTTCATATGAAAGCAACATACATTAACCATCTTACAAAACAGAAACCAGCTCCGTAGGCTGAAGACGAGAACGCAAGGTACAGCAAAAATGCTGAGGAACAGTTGGCGGGCCTGATTTCGCGAAGAAAAAAAAAAAAGCACATGTAGAACCATTTATGTTTGTAGTGCATGTATGTGCATGCAATTATTGCAACAGATAGCATACGCCAGTCAATGTCGGCAGCCACTAATCATCGGCAGCCATCACTTCGCCAACATGCAGAATTCACCAGGTGATATTCGCCTGTAGTAGACAGGAGCTAGTTAATGGAAGTCGTGATTTAGCCAAAATTAGGCAACACTAACCGGCATTCGCCGTCACAATATATGGGTGGTGAAAACTTGGGTGTATGCCAAGACATGCTCTTCCATTTTATTGAAAAACTAATCACATCCAGCTATATTCCTTGTGAGATTACGCACAAAAACCGGCATGTTTTACGCGCAGGTTCTAGCCGCTGTGGTAGTAGGCGCAGAGTCCACCGTGACATCTCTGACCAACGAGGCCGGCCAGCGAGGAGACTCTAGCGAAGTGTCCGGACGCCCAAATCGTCAAGGTTTCGAGGTACTAAGACTTCAGGACACTATGGCAGCGCTTCCGTCGGGCTTCCAATCAACAGAGGCTGTGACCTACGATGCTATGAACGCACCTCAAGCTGCTGGAGGTGAAGGCAGGTACGCGATTGGCGTCCCGTCACAGATGCTGCACCAAACACAGAATGGCGGCTCTTTTTCTGGCACCAGCGGTGAACAGTACCACGCCTCGGCTACGGACCACTACGGTGGCCTCGGAGGTCCCGGTGGTTCAGGCGCATACGGCTTTCCGGATGCCATGAGGTTAGTGCAAGCACGCATACTGTTGAGGTGAAAGCCATGCTTGTCTCCTCAGAGGCGAAAAATGACCGTTGGCGTCGACACGAGTGATGCAAAAGCTCATGTGATGAGGTCACCGTACGATGTCACCCTGACATCACAGGTAACAAAATTTGGGCGACGTCATCACATGACATCGTCGCTTAGTGAAAAATCACGGGGGCATCCAAGTAAGGAGCACGAAGCTTCAAATTCACCCAATTCGGGAAGCACTGTGAAACAATGTTCGGTGGGAAGGCTTCCTGCAGGGATCAATACAATCGACTTAAACGAAAAAAGAAGACGGCTTTTACCTTTCGGCTGTGTCAGACAAATGCGTACCGAACCATGCTTCTTTATGTAACAATGTTGCGAAATAACTTGGTTCAAGGTAAGCACCCGTGAGAACTGTGCTAGCACACGCGTATGTTTCGGTCTAACGTACTTTCCTTGCAGGTACTACCACTACGGCTCGGGTCCGAAGGCGTACAACACCGAACACGCTTACGCCTACGAGAAGGTGTACCCGGAGCGCAGCTACAGCACCAACCACGCCACGTCTTACGAGAAACACTACGACGATAACGACAAGAAAGGCGGGCCGTGGGATGGTGGTGGCTACGAGTCGCGTTTCAGTACCAGCTATCCCATCAGAGGTGGCCACGCTGGCGGCGGCTACGGCTACCGACACGGGGAAAGTTACGGTAAGGGTACCGGGAGGGGGTACTCCAGTGGCTACGCACCGAAGGGCTACGAATCACGCTACGACTCACGGCCCGCGGCCGCTTCGTCTAGGGGGAGCCGAGGGGGTGCAAGAGCCGGTCCCAAGATCAAGCGCTACGTCTACAGGAACCCTTACGACAAGAGCACCACGCGGGTTGTGGAGATGCACTCGAGCCGCGGCCAACCCGACTGGGCTGCGTCCAACGAAAATTGGCAGGTCTGGAGGGCGGACGACATGGAACGGTTCGTGTTGGGACTGATGCGCAACGGCTGATGAGAACATGCTGCTTAATTACCATGTTTGTTTGTGTTCGATTGAATTGGCAACACCATACCCGTGTGCGTTTTTTTTCTTTCTTTCTTTCCTATTTGAACAGTGCTGAACGCAACTCAATGTCGATGAATTGCAGGACATAAGCGCTGACCAGCGACTGAAAATATTATTGAGACACTTTGTGTTATTCAGGTTTTTTTTTCCTTCATCCTTGGAATTTGACTGGTGCTGCCGAATATAATTGTTGGAAATCGGGCCGACTTAAAGTTCATCCATTACCATTTGCAGAATGTCTTTGTGATGTCACCGTACGATGTCACCCTGACATCATCGTGAACTGGTATACGCTCTCAATTCGTCCTCTCTCACTTCTGCTTCACTCCCACGAGACGTACGTCACTCTGCTCGGCGTGTTATGCAATAGCTATAGGGTGGGCTAGTCAATCACGTGACTAAAAATCTTGCAAAAATGACGTAACAACTAGTCACGAGACTAAAATCACCTAACATCACTCAACAACTAGTAATGTGACTAAATATTACATAACATGACGTGGCAACTCCCACGTGACAAATCACGCAACTGGTGAAGTGACTAAAATTATATGCAATATCACGTAACCACTCGCATACCAGAAAATCACGTAACGTATAGAAACGCGACTACAATCGCGTATCATGTGACATTTCGTTACATATGGCTAAAATAAGTAACATTAAGTGACAATATTAATGAGATCTAAGAGAAAATCATGCAAAGGAAAGCATAAGGGATGTTATTAACCGTAATTGAAATGTAAATGCGAAGAAAGAAAAGTGTTTGAAAAGGTAACTTGCCGTTGGCAGAGATTGAACCTGCGAACTTCGAATGCTCAACCCCGATGCCCAACCAACTGAGCTACCACGGCGGCTATCCCCCATCCACTGCGTGGATCGTGCAACAGTTAGTCACATGGTATGTTCCAGCGCCGTTGTTCAATCAAACCTCGCAAAAAAAAAAAAAAAAACCCGTAGACATGCTGTAAGAGGTCCCGGATACCGAATTCGCAATAAATTCGCGAATTCGAAACCTTTTCAGTGTCCTTTAAAAGAGCGTATTCTTGGCCATGTTGGCTCATTTCTCTCTTTTTAGCACACGAACGGATAAGGACTAAAAGCGGCATATACGCACCGCCACTCAACAACTACTCACTTGACTAAAATAACGTAACATTGCGAAATAGCTGGTCACGGGACATTTTCCCGCCAAAAGCATGTAACAGCTACACGAGTGAGATGTTCCCACAAAAAAACCACGTTACATCAAGCGGCGGGACTGAAACCACGTAACGCCATGTAACTAGTCATATGACATGCTCCCGCCAAAACAAGGCGACACGGGCTTAGTGTGGGGAACTGACAGAAACAGGAGAACTGTCATGTCAACCCATAATTAGTACTACTAGTATAGTATACCTATTATAAAACACTTGGCATCTTTAGTAGAAGCAACTGACATTTCTAGCAAGACTTAACTAAAGGTCTAACGCCAGCTCCGATGATGGTTCTAGCCTTGAGCAAATAGTGCAAGCTATACACATTTTTTTTTCAGTCCCTCAAGGTTAGTCATATGCATTGGTATAGGCGTGCGCAAGGTTCCTTGTGCAAGGTTCCTACGTGCATTGGTCAGCAAGTTCAATAAAGATAACTGCTTATTTTTTATTTGAATAAAAAATAAAACACAACCACTGTGCACTACCGGCCACATATACTTGAAATCACCGTAACGTGAGACGTAAAGGAAGTCATCACATGTTCGGATTAGGTTACCGACCCTCGCAGTTGTGAAAATAGTTTTATTTTTTTCTAGTTGTAAGGTATTTTTAGCAATAGGACAATATTCTAGGATTCATTCCACTATATAAGGGCATGAATATGCATAAGTAGATTCCTGTATTGCGTGATCAATAGGTTACGGGGAATACAGATGCACGTACAAAAAATACATTTGTTAATAAATGTACTTGTTATTCATGTACGTGCGTCTGCACATCGCACACACACGTAAGTACTCAGAGCCGGCGGCAGTTTTCAGAAACCACAACAATGATGTCTAACACCGTGATGGTACACGATTCAGTGTAATAATAAAAAGTTAAACCGCGCCTAAACTGCGTCATAAGCAAATAAAGAAGAACAAGCGCACTGAAAAGACGGAAAGCGACAAGACAGGCAATAATACCAATGCCCTAAATGTGTAATACTGGCCCTGCTAAAATGTAGCGCTTGGATTTTGACTTCAGGTGGATTAAAATACTTTCAATATTCGGAGTACTTAGCATCGTAGCATGCCACTACTAGAACGCTAATTGCTCGCTAAAAACATCGCGATACCAGCTGAATTTCTGATGTCATTACTGCAGTTGCCTTCATAATTAAATAATAATCCTAACGATATCTTTGTGGTTGTTTCTGAAATGTTCAGTCTTTTCTGCAGAGCACGTCTTACTGTAGTGCCTAACATATAAGTAGGAGGGACAATTAATTATACGAAGACAACCTTGAAAAACTGGAGTGCCTTTGACGTTGGAAGCAGATGCTGGACTCCTGGCCTTGCTCATCGTAACAACACAATGCAGTGAACTTCTTGTCAGCATTTTCCCTTCGATCTGTGACTTTTCCATAAAGAAAACGTGTAAGTGTGCGTGAGTGCGTCTCCTTTTTTCCTTCCTGTTTTTATCAACTGTCGAACTTCTTACCTGCTTCACCTAGCAAATTTCCACATGACTCATTCATTTCATCTCATTTCCCGCTGGGTATTGAATACTGTCTAAATAACTCTCCCGCTCCAGGCTCTATGGCTCGAGGTTGTGTGTGATGAGGTCGCAAGGAAAGTTACTATTGGTCATTCTCCCCTTTTAATAATTTAACTTCGTGCTCCAAGAACTTTTGCGGACGACTGTGCACATATTTACATGCACTCGACATTTTGTGAAGATTTGATCCGAAACCAAAACTGCGACTGCTTTAGAACTTGAGGCTAGCTGGTCTTCAAAAACAACCTGAACAATTTCTGTCTAGTTATTTTATTTGTGCACATAATTATTAAGTTCTAATTGAATCAGTGTAATACCAGGAAGAATAATGCAAGCAAACTTTTTTTACTCAATTTGGCGCGAACTGATAGCAGCGCGCTTTGTTGTAAGCCACAATGAGGAAATGACGTCTGTTAGTTCAAATTGAGTTATCAATTTCCTGCGTTAATTACCTAACTACTTTGCTTAAGCGGTGCATATGTGCACATTACAGACTATAAGAGTAATTTTAATGTGTTAAAGCAGTTTATACTGCTCGTGTTTAACGTAAACTGACGCACTACATCTCATGTCGGAACGTTTTTTGTCTATTCGTTTCGTATCCGCACGCACGCACACCGGATCAATCACGCACGCACGCCACTGCCGGTCTCTGCGTGTGCCAACCTTTGACCGGAGCGCTTAATTTGTGTGTATAAATAGCGCCAATAAAAAGAGACACCCGTGCCAAATGGTAGTAGGAATACTCCTCTCTCTATTCGCATCCATGTCGTCCGCGGTGCAGGCTTTCCGCGAGCGCACCTTCGTTATCGTCAAGCCGGACGGTGTGCAGAGGGGCCTGATCGGCAGAGTAGTCAGCCGGTTTGAGAAGAATGGCTTCAAATTAGTGGCTATGAAGTTCCTTCAGGTTAGTAGAGCTGTTCGTATATAGATACCAGTTATGTACAGGTAAATTGATCCAGCCTATTTCCCTCCGCATAAATGCTTGCCCGGCAAATGCAATACATGGTTTTGGATTCATCTGGCGCTTCTGTTCGCTGATCTTATCGTCCACTTTTGTTCTGCTCTAAACTTTATTTGCTGTTCGTTGTGCACTAAACCAATTAGTCGTGAAACAAGCGATGCAGTAGAAACGCGTTGCTAGTTTAGGATGTTGATTGAGTGCGGCCTTACACCGTATTATTAACGTGGACACAAGCTTAGCCTTGCTCACACGAAACGAAAGAAGCTTTTTCTTTGCGCTTGACAGCATTGAAATCCGAGATATTGAAGCTAACGGCGGCTAAGGAATTCCTTTTTCAGCGACTTCTGTGGGTCCGAAAAATAAATTGGGGCTTTGTGCTGCTGTTCGATTAGTTGCCGTCCCCTTTCATCCTCATAATTTGCCAATGCCTTAGCAACAATGTATTCTCGCTATCGGAAGTTTTTTGGATAGATTAACTCTGATTACTATGCCTTTTAACGATTGACTTGCTTTCACACTTTGCAGGCAACCGAAGAAACATTGAAAAAGCACTACGAGGAGCTCGCTGAACGTCCGTTTTTCCCCGCCCTCATACAGTACATGCAGATGGGTCCTATCGTGATCATGGTAAGGTGAACAAGACGTTCGATAAACTGTCAAATTCCTCGAACTTCTTTTTAACATTCCCTTTGAGCAGTCGCATTCGTAGACATAATAAATAAGTGCCTGATTTATGAACTAATAAATAGCACTGATTAAAATAATATGAATGAAAAGAGATTCTTATCCTTCTGTGAGTGGTACGCTGTACGTTTCTTTTTTCGAAGGAAACATTATTGAAAAAGATTCTGGGTTCGAATCCCCGACCAAGCCAAAAATGTAATCAGTGTTCAATGCAGACTTCTATTGCAGCTTTGCACTACATTTGGGCGGACAAGGATATTTTTTTCTTTTCATGAACCTTATTCCACCTTGCGGGATCTTGCAACCGTTTGGGATATTAATATTCATATAGTTAGACTTGGACACTGTAGTGCAAAAATAATTCATCATGTAGTGTGGTCATGAAGTGTGCTTTGACGCTATAGTTAGGCAGCAAAAATTAGAATTGAGTTCTCCAGTGGCATGCAGTTCCTGTGCTGCTCATTAAATGTGAGAGTCCTCATTCTCAGCTTAAGTTCATCCATAGGGTGAAGAAAACCAAAGCTTTGCCTAAGAGTGGTATTCTAACTCGTATCCCTGCAGCAATACGCACACTCACCACTCAGTTACGTTACTGTGCAAAGTTTGGTGCTTCTGTGCCCACACAGACCGCATGTGGTGGCATTCGTGCATAATACGTTTGTGCATACTGTACTATAGGCATCAAATGAAACCTGAACAGTAGCAAGTATTAGCAATAGTACAGTGTCCTCCGTCCACTCATGCCCTTGGACATTCACAGTGCTGCCCAAGTGTATTGCTGTGCACTTGTGAATGGTGATGACTGGACGCAGTGCACTATAACATACATGATGCCTATCGCTATTCGGTTTTCATTTGACGTCGATAATAGTCACAAGCTTTATAGAAGTGACTATGGGAGTGTGTAGCATGCAGAGCACTCCAGTGAGTGAGTTGTGCTCCTTCGTGGTTTGTATGGCAACAAACATGTTACCCATTGAACTGAAGGGATTGATGCGGTCATCACATCATTTGATTTGAACTTGCTTGATCTTGGTATCCTCTTTGTATAATGTGTGGAGCAGTGTCGAAGTGGTGCAGCACTGGTCCGAAAGTCAGGCGTACTTTCAAAATTTAAAATGCGGACACGCAGTTGTGGGACCATGAGAAAGGAGCACCAGTGACCATACATGATGCCTACTGCTATATTGTTTTCATTTCACGTCGATAATAGTCACAAGCTTTATAGAAGTGACTATGGGATTGTGTAGCATGCAGAGCACTTTAGTGAGTGCTCTGCATGCTGTTTTGCTCGTTTGTGGCTTGTATGGCAACCAACGTGTTACCCTTTGAACTGAAGGGATTGATGCTTTGATCGCATTATTTGATTTGAACTTGCTTGATCTTGGTATCCTGTTTGTATAATGTGTGGAGCAGTGCAGTGCTACAGCTGGTAGCACTCTTCTGCGAATGTCTTAGGTACTATGTAATTGAACTTATACATTTTACCGGTAACAGTACACAATGAAGAAGCTCTGGTTCAATGGTTGGTGTGGATGGGAAAGTAAACTGTCCTCGTATGCTTCTCCAGGTATGGGAAGGCAAAGACATTGTCAAAAGGGCACGAGATATCATAGGTGCCACTGATCCACTCAAGTCGAGCCCTGGTACCATACGAGGCGACTATGGAATAGCAACTGGAAGGTAATATGACTGTCTTGCCTAGCAATATTCAACTACAGGTAACATGGGTCACAGCTCGCAGTTGCACCTGCTGGCAACATGGTGTGAATCATTTATTATCCCAGTGGCTTTAGTAGCTGCTTATTTACCCAGGTGGCTTTAGCAACTGCTTATATTAGTGACTGGTGGTGCATTTCAACTGCCACACCTTTTTTACTACTGACCGTGCAAGACAGCTTAAATTGTTGTTTTTGCTGCTTTCATAGTTTTTCTGGGCATCCACCTCATAGTACATGCTAGCACTTACCATCCACCTGAAAATGGCATGGTAGAGTAGCACAGTTGACGGTTGTGGTTCCCATACATTTTGAAAACACTAAACAGCACTAAAAATATTAGGGGCCTTGGTTGTGTGATTATCTTCAGTTCACAAAGATATCATCTGGCATTCCACACTGACACATTATTTACAAATGCGAGGACTATTGTAATCAGCATGGGGAAGATGAATGCACCGCTGCTCAATTTCACCCACCATCTTGGCCCTCGTAGTGATGAGGAAGGGGACAGCATGGAGTCTCACGCAGATGTGATAAATAAAACTGCTTGAATTCAGAATGTTTCAAACATCGTATGCTTTCTGCTTAAGTCCCAGCACATGCAAGCATAAGCATCGTCAGGGGATGTGCGAAAGGGGCACTTGCCCCCTCAAGCCCCACCAGCACTTGCCCTAACCCAAGCTACACCAGCTCCCCCCCCTCCCCCTAGAAGCGATGCAACACTGGTTTGCACCCCCCAAAAGAAAATCTTGCCGACGACCATGCATGCAAGTGTACAAAATTGGACTAGTTCGTTTTAACACTCCGCTAACTGTGGAGCAGATACTACAAAGCAAGCTTCATGGCACAAAGCTCGGAGATAGTGCCCTTGTTGCCAGCATAGCTTTGTCCAACTTCCTGCACTACTATTTCATTTTTAAAGAAGTACATCATTAAAGCGACACTGAAGGCAAATGTTAAGTCTGTGTTAAAATAACGGTCTAGAAACCTCCTCATGCTACATTTGTGCCAAGGGAATGCTTTTTTTAAAATTAAAAACATAATTCAGTGATTCATACGGCACTCGCGGATTTGAAATCACTTGCCTGAAGGGCTTCCTGATGAAGCACTCGAGTTGCCGAATGTTGCACGCCTTTGCTGTGTGCCCGTCGATACTAGTAGCAGCAGAGTGAAACTAGCGGGAGCTGCAGTAGCAACAATAGCCACCATGCAGAGGATTCCGTAACTCTCAGCATGGAAGTGCAGCAAGTGCACATACAGATTTTCCGGCTGTTTTGCACATTGGTGAATAGGCACGGCACTCGGCCACTTCGAGTATAGGGGTTCGTTTTACTGCAACCAGTGGAAAGTAACGACCGTCTCTTTGCTGCAGCTCAGGAGGCGTACACAATTTGGACATCCGGCAACATGACATGCACATGGCATTTTGTTGAACTTCCTGTCACAGTGACCTTTGTGGGAATACAAAGCAGCGCAGCGCTATATGATATAGAATCTACCACTGGGACGCGATCACGTGAGAAAAGCGTAGTTCGGCGAAAGCAAAACTTCTGAGCCACTCATGCCATTTCTCACAGTAACGCCAAGCAGTTCTTTTTCTATGAATCAAGCAGAATCAAACAAGCAGCATTTTATTACGTGTTGCGATTCATCGAAGGTTCATTCTTTATTGCAACTGGTTTGATTATTAGTGATTAGCTGTACTTGGGACTCGTTTATAAAATTGTTGGGATCATTACAAAATAACCCAGTCGTGGTGCATATGGTGTCATGCATTTACCTTAATTTCTTGATTAGTAGAGCACTGTTGTTGATAATATTGACACTCTCGACGTTCTCAAACATTGATATCTCACTCTGACTTGAATTGTTATTTGCCTTTTTGTGTACATATAAATTTTAGGCTTGTTTGCTTGACTGCTTTCAATGACTTTACTCTTGCTTTCTGTCGCGCACATCATTTCAGGAATGTTGTTCACGGCAGCGACTCCTTGGACAGCTCGAAGAGGGAAATCAACTTGTGGTTTAGTAGGGCTGAGGTCATCCCTTGGCAGCAAGAGTTGGATGACTGGCTGAACAAAGAGAACTGAAGCGTAGTTACAGTGGCACTAACCATTTACCTCCCACATATGAGCTCTGACCCTACGATCATGGGATCGAGTCGTGACCACTGCAGCCGCTTTTTCAATGAAGCTGATATGCTAGGGGCCCATGTTCTTAGATTTAGGCATACGTTAAAGAGTGCAAGGTGATGAAAATTTCTGGAGCCCTCCACTGCGGTGTCTCTCATAACCATATTGTAATTTTAGGATGTAAAACCCAGAACAATTATCATTATTGTTAACCTACACACGACCTCAGCACATCCACCAATTCTGTATGCATGCGAAACAAGACACATTTAGGAGTTGAAACTACACTATTTGTGGCAAGCAAACCAAGTCATGCTCCGGTGAATCAGATATCACGCTAGTGGCTGACAAGGAAATTGAAGCTGTTTTCGATACAAAGGGAGCTTTTCATGGTGTTGGTCTCGTTGGGCTGCATGCTACTGTGGAATCTGCCTGTTTCGGTTTCTATTGTTTGTTTTGATACATCTGCCGGAAGGTGCCCACAGTGCATTTGCCTCTGTTGTCATGCACTACATTTTTTACATTACCTGGTCAGTCGTGCACATGATCATGGGAGTTTCACCTCCTATATAGTCTTGCTCCATGACCGTGGATCAGCTGAGCTCGCCCATGGTTAACTCTTTCATGCACAGATGGTGCAGCTTTACCCTAATAGTAGCATTTTACACGACAATTATAAGAGGCAATCTGAGTGAAAGCTGTGCTGGGAAGCCAACCTACTCTTGCACTTAAGTATAAAATTCTTTATATGTGTTCTTTAAGAAATATTTGTTTTAATGCATTTAATATATGAAGTTATTTTTCCGTGCCAATTACCTAGAGCATATAAAGAAAAACCTGTAATTTGTGAAGGTTCTCATGAAACCATCAAGGGGGTAAAGGTTTCTAGTGTGTGCAAAATTTTTATACTTATGTTTTTGGTATTTAACTTATTTGTGCACTAAACCCTTATGGCTTATCACCTTTATCATATTTTAAATATTTTGATGTTTTTTTTTGTTGTCCAGTTTTAACCAATGCTGAATTTTTTTCTTCTATCGGAAAGCTATGCTCCTTTTCAATGTGAGTGATAAAGATATTGTGTGCAAACATGTCTTTGTAGCGTGTACTGTTCATCAAAGCTGCTCATTTTTTATTATGTTTTTGCTACTGCAAATTTACAGTATACATCTTGTTTCAGTGTATATCATACTCTTGTGTTATGGCTGCTACAAACTCCACGAACAGGCATTAAAAAAAAAAAACAACATGCAAGACTAAGTATATTCTGAGGTGCACAAATAAACGCTGATAGGGCTCCTGCCACAACCTCAGTGGACAGGCAATGACAAAAAGAAAAAAGCTTGGAGGACTGAGGTTACTTCATGGCAGAAGAACAAGAGAAGTGTGTGAACTGGCCTCCAAACGTGGTGGATGATTCGCTGCGGCTTTGCACTTCCCGCGGCAAATGGCGTGCTATGTTGCAGGCTTTGTTTTCAGGTCTAGCCGGTGCGTATAAGGAAAGCGTAGCTAAATATGAGTGATAAAACGGGTACCGGAGCTTTGTTTGCATTCTTTTTTGCCTTTTCTCAACCTCAGACGATCGACTCTTCATGCTGCGAAAGACGTTGAAGCGAATATAGGTGCATTCATAAGGGCGTCGCAAAAACGCAGGTAGGCTAGTGGCACCTCCAGTCTGCCATATGTAGTGGGGCAAATAACAGGGAATACGAAATGCGTAGCAGCCAGACAGCTGTGTGAGCCATCTAGTCACATGACAGTGCTTGTAAATGGACAAATTTGTATGACATGCTAGACGTATGCGGCATGAGTGGTATGACTTTGCGGTGCCACAACGAAGCAAAGGGTGCTTTTATTGTGGAAGCGTTTTGTTAGAGTGATTTAGAATGAATTGTGCTGTTTTTTTTTGTTGAGGTAAAAGCATCAGATGCCTCATTAAACGCGAAGCTTGGTCGTCGGCGTCCTGCATCGGCGGGGACGAGTGATGCAGGATATCACCATCTTGTGATTATGTCACAGATTGCCGCAGTTCATGGCGTACTCATGACATCACACGGCGACATCATCGCACATATGCCACTATAGCTTAGTCAAATGTAGTTTTATCACGAAGGCAATGAAAAACCAGCTGAGGTGCCTCCTGGAGGCACTGCAAAGGCACGATCAATACAAGGAAAGCAGATGGCTATCGCTTTCGAGTCCTCTTTAGTGAATGCACATGTAAGGAACGCTATGTACTTTTTAGAACGAAAGCCTTTATATGCTTCCTCAGACAGAAAATTTGACCATCGGCAACAACCGTCACATGGCGTCGGGACGAGTGATGCCAAAAATCATAACGAGATGGCGTCTACATATGACGTCGTCATGATATCAAAAGTTCTGGTGTGACGTCATATGATGTAACGGGCCTCATTACATCAGGTGTTCCGCATGGTTGGGGGGACACTACAGTCGATGACGCGGGTGATGGTAGGTGGTCAATTGCACTTACATTGCAAGAAACTTGTGCAAGAAAGTTTTCTTTTACAGGAGAGAAAGTGTTTTGAACAGTTATTGGGAGTGAAAATGTCCAGAAGGTTTGGACAGGTATAGGTATGCCGGGCAGTCGGGTAACATCAGAGGTGTTCTGAGGTTAGGATACGACTGGAGTTATGTTAACTCTATGGGCAACATTGTCGGCACAGCGTTTAGAACGTGCCCTTTGTCGCGGGCCGTCCATTATTTGCACACGAATTTGGGTTCGAAATGTCTGGCAGACAAAATCGGTATAGTGAAGGATTCCATTTTTTCACGCAATGGCGCGCCACCACTTGTTCAAAAGTTTGACGTCTTCTGGTGCACAAAAATGTCTTGTGGCCCGTGTTGCTGCCAGACACAATGCATTTTCTACCCGTTAGGGTCTGTCTACACGCTACCAGCCCAGCCGCAGCGCACGTGCCTGGACACTTGCCCACAGAACACCTATAAAACCTATGATGTATACTTGCCGCGCTCAAGTTTTCCCATTTGCTCAATGCAAAAGCCGAGCCTGGAACAGCCTACGCCATCTATAGTCAAGATACAGCAACCTACAGGGAGTGTGTTATGGTTAACGTTACTGTATATGCTACCTTTTAAATCTAACATATAAAGTAATTCTACTTATGCTCATTCCACAGTGCCGTTGCCGCGCAGTTCGCACAACATTGTATATTTCTCGTTCTTCTACCGTCAACTACTTTGAGCTCTGAGGCACACAAAAAATGGTCGTCACAAAGCTTGGGTGTGTACCTATGGCCTTCGAGATGGCAAACGCGTGGCAGATTTTGACACAGATTACGCGCCCGCCATCTTAAAGGCCATGGTGCAACCTGCATGAGTCAGTAGTCAACTCAAAGATGGCGACACACGTGCAGCTTTTTTTGGCGCGGCGCACGGAAGCAGGAAAACGATCAGCCCGTCAACAGTGACTGAAAAAGTGTACAGTTTTATCACTTGAAGAAATCGGTGTGTGTGTGTGTGTGTGTGTGTGTGTGTGTGTGTGTGTGTGTGTGTGTGTGTGTGTGTGTGTGTGTGCGTGTGTATGTGTGTGTGTCATGCGTGTGATGATAGGCTCGGTTTGACAATAGAAAACAGCTGTCCAAGTCAACTTGGAAGTTTTCATGCGACTTCAAGAATCTTTACCAACGGCAGCGTAGACGTGCCTAATGTGGGTTAAACTAATTAGCCATGTCTAGACGTTGGTGCTATATCAGAATAGCGCAGTTATCTGCCTTTAACGACTGTTGTGCTTTGTGGGCTAAACAACGTCTAACAAGAAGCCTAGAAAGTACGAGAACATTGCGCGTGACGGTGCGGATTGACCAGCACCCGTAACTGAAGTATTTACGTTGCGAGTACTCGTGAGTCGTGCTTCTGACGTACAGCACCGTGCATTGGTTCTGCAGCAGGTAAAGAAACTACATGAAGATGTCCTGATTTGTGTGTTGATTGAATAGCGCGACACGCGATGGAACTGGTGAAACTGAAGCTTCACGGAATACTTGCAAGATTGTATGTAATTCCTGCTCGAAAAATTAAAAATTTTGATGTATATTGGAAAGCCGAGCAACGCACGAAAGTGGCAATCTCTGAGGGAAGTTTGTTTTACACAACCCACTATAGATGGCGCGAGCTCCCCGAGGCTGATGAATTGATGAAGAGGGCCAGTTCAGCCTTGGAAGTGACCATAATCGCATACGGCTGTTGTTCTCTAAGGGCGGCTTTCGAACAGGCTGCATGTCACCTCCACCCAGGCGTGGCATGTACTTGCCGAGCAAGTCCGTGGAGAGGGTCGCCAAGGATTTTGAAAGTAGTCCTCAACGGCGGGAATCCCGCTCGTACAGTGAGTTCATGCGCGCACTGGACGCTGTAATGCGTACCCAGATGGTCCAGGAGAGGCCGGGACGCAGGCCACAGAACCCATGGTGGGACAAAGAAGTGGAGGTGGCGTGGAAGGAGCGCCGCCAAGCAAATCGGGAACATCGAAGATTTGTCAAAGGCCTTGACACTGAGGTATGTGCAGAGAAGTGGGCTGTGTATCTGGACCGTAAACACAAGGTACAGACCCTGATTCAGTGCAAGATAGCAGACTACAACCTTAGGCTGATCCAGTCCATCAGACAGGAAGGAAGATCTGCAGCACACAAATTTTGGACATACATTAGGTCCTTGGACAGAGCCGCCCCCCCGCCACCTCCTCTCATAGATGCGGCAACGGGGCAACCAGTCGGAGAGCCCTGTGAATACATTGCACAGCACTTCTCCCGGATTTTCGGGACCTCAGACTTGAATACAGACACCACCCTTAGTAAAGAGGAGGCAATCAGTCCTAATACCGAACGCCCCCCAAGCCAAACAGAACCACCCTGGGCCCTCTCAAGGTTCACAGTTGAACGGGCGTTGAAGCGGATTAGGGCTGGAACGGCCACTGGTCTGGACGGCATGCCAGCGCGCGTACTAAGTGCTTGGGAGAAGACTCGAGGGAACAGCTCGCAGAGATCCTCACGGCCATCATCGAAGGCGAGCCCATCCCTAAAGAATGGCATGAAGGGAAGGTGATTCTTATCCCCAAAAGGGGCGGAGATGCGAGGAACATAGAGGACTACAGACCAATAACGGTCACCAGTGTTATGTATCGCTTGTTCGCGGGGGTCATCAAAGCATGGATGAGTGGCTGGGCGGAAACCAAGGGACTACTGACCGAGCTTCAGAATGGCTTCAGGCCAGGCAGACGTCTGGATGACAATCTGTTCGTCGTCACACAGTGTGCAGAAATAGCTCGCAGGGAAGGGAGAACGCTGTTGTGCTGCTTCCTCGATGTTGAAAAAGCGTACGATAGCGTGCCGCACGGTCCTCTCTTTGCATGCCTGTCTGACCTTGGACTGCCCCGGCTGCTAATCTCCACTATACAACGGTTGTACAGTGACAATGTAGTGAGTGTGCAGTTGGGTGCCATAACTACTGGCCCAATTCATGTAAATAAGGGTCTGAGGCAGGGCTGCCCACTGTCACCATTGCTGTACATTCTATACGCATCCAGAATAGAGCGGGCCTTGTTGAACTCCAACCTCGGATTCAGCATGCGTTTCAGCACAACTAGTGCTGAAGAGAACTTCCACCTGCCTGGTTTGGCATTTGCAGATGATCTGGTGGTTATGGCAGAGAGTAACCAGG